GTTTACTCTATCAAAACATTCCTATTTTTTAAATCATTTTCCGCAAGGTAAACGTGTCAAGAAAACTGAAACTTATTGTTTGGAGTTTAAAAAATTAGACAAGTATAAATCAGAGACATCTGGTCTTTGAAATATACTGAGAAAAAGAAAATCGTTACTACACAATAGAACGTGCTATGAGTTACCGAACAAAAGAAGAGTTACTACAAACAAGATGGCTGACATGTCTAACATCTCTATATTTAAATTAAGCAGCATCAGAGTCGACTAAACCGCAGAAATGTTCACGATGATCTGATAATTATCGTCTGTTCATTGCCATACGCTTGGTATTCGTATCACGCGTTCGTACCAATTTCCAATCGTTGCCGCTTTTCCTCGATAATTTGTCGTACGTAGCGAGTAGCAACGACACGCGTGAATTATCGCGAAGTTTATCCCCGATGCTTGTACTAAGCACGAGAAAAGTACGGAAGAGTTATATTATTGCACTTATATACACGTTCGTGTTGGATTACCATAAGTATGAGTTGCAACGGGTATGCACGGCTCGGCGCTCATTTGCGCGTAACAGCATTCTACCGTGTATAATCTTATTCAGAGTTTAAGGTTAATTGGCGTAGCCTCGCGCACTTATTTACATCCGCGCAAATCACAAATCTTCGGGCCAGAATTATCGGTCGTAAATTACCTCGTACCTCGTACGCAAGTCGGATCCTCGTCCCGCTAACACGAAATGATAATGCTGTTCCCCTTCGGTCTTCGTAAAACGAACGTTTTTATATCCTTATTCACTCGGCTCTCGCTGAATGACCGAGTCCCAAACGTCTTAATTTTCCATTTAAAAATGAACAACGTAAATTTCCCTCCCGTAAATTTCGATACTTTACAACAAATATACAATTTCAACAGGAAGTTGGTCGTACAAGTTCAACAGGAATAAGATGCTTAATTTTATCCTCTCGACTAAAGGTCAACGAGAAGAAATTTTTGCGTCTTGAGAGTTTCCAGCTCGCAAATCTGTTACTCTAACTTCTAAATGGATAGCTATGACCACAACGTGGCACGAATGTCGGAACGAAACTCCCTCGAACTGGAGCAAGATGAAATCGAATCCGCTGTCAGCGTGTCGGGTAATATTCATTTCACACCGGATTGCCAACTGCATTATTATGCATTAAATACGACAGGCGAGCACGGTTTGTCTCGGGAAATAACAATGCGCCTGACTACGCGCACAGAGCCTCGCTGCATATAAAATAAATATCAGAGATTGCAATACGCAAGAAGCTCCGTGTGAACGTGTTACGCGGACTTTTGAAATTTTCGTTAGCACCACGGTGAGAGCCGACTGTCGTTAATTACGTTGGCAAACATTGAAAACAAGTTTGAAGGTACACGTTGAAAAGACGAGGTATTTAGTAGAGATCATGAGAGTATTTAAACAATCAATTATCTGCTCGTTATCCATGCTTAACGTAGCTATGCTTATTTTTTAATGAATAGATATTTAACTAATACGTAACAGTCGTGAGTTGTTATACCTTGTATACATATATTTCACACGCATGTTACTTTATATTTTCTTATTCATTTTAATTTACGCAGTTTCAAGTTTCCCGCCATCCGACACGACAGATTTTTATGGCAACTGTTTCAAACAACACTTCCACGAGCCAAAGTAAAAATCATGTGTAATGTTATGTGTGTGTGTGTGTGTGAGATGAATGATGAGCTGCGCGACAGATCGTCACGGCGATGCGTCACGAGGCGTAGATCGGCCGATGCGTCCCGCGTGTCTGTTTATTATTGCCAACGGAAATAAAAATAACGCGAGTACTTGGCTGCCTACATGACATCAGCCGACCAATCGATCCGTTTTGCACGATGATGCATGAAGTGCGTCGGATGAATGCCGCGCGAGAGGTACCGGTCCCGTCATTTGGGTGCGGGTGCTACGAACTGTGGCTCCGTTGAAATTCTCGCCTGCAATTAACCACTCCGATACACTTTGCGCTCGATCGACCACATTGGTTTTTCTTGACAACAACTGCGCGAACGTGATTTCGTCGATATCGGGAATGTAAAACTTTGACGATCGGTAGTATTTGTAGATTGAAACGGTGAAACTCCGATTAATTGAACTCGTCGAGGGGCGCGGAATACTCCAAAGTGAAAAGTGGAATTTGTTGATTTTCGTCTGACGAAGATTTTTTCGCTGGCAGGCGTTTGGACAAGTGGGCTCGATCGGTAATTTAATTAATATAGTCGTTAATTAAAATTTCGTTTCGACGAGAGGAGGTCTACTCTGAGAGATGCACTATCGAGAATTCACGAGCACGTTGAAACTCCGATTAATTGAACTCGTTGACCGACAGAATGTTCGTGAAAGTAGAATTTGCTGATTTTAGTCAGACTACCTAAGATTTTCTCCTCAATAAAACATTCAGATATGTAGATTCGATCGGTAGAAGTTTATATTTATACGCCATTTGAACTTCGTTTTCAACAATATAAGTACGCGGTGACTATTCGAATGATATGCAAAAATATGTAAAATATTCAAAGCTGAGTGCTCATTATAATATTGACCAGATTAAATAAATCTTTGCTAACATTCTGTTTCATTCGACTAATCGTACGGGAACTTTCCAAATCGTAAGTTTTTAGCAAAGCTATAAAATTCTGACTAAAGTGTAAATGAAGTTTATGTTTATTTCTCTAGCGACACTCTATTAAAGTACACAGAGTCTTTTATCCGCGCAGTGTGGAAAATTTCCAGTCACACTCATTGTAAGTTGTTCGCTAACCGGCGAACGAGTTCGTGGTCATAACTCTCGGACACTCTGTACGCCGGTACGTAATTACAATAATCAAACCACACTCCACGGTTGTCAAACGCGAAATTGCTTCTTGTTAGTATTAGTCGTGCTGTAACGTTCCGGCTCCTTCAACTTGTCAGTGATAAAACCGCGAAATACGACTGGAAACGCAAATAAAATCGGATCTGCCGGCAAGTGCCTGTACGAGCGGCCCCCACGTTAGCGTAACGTTGCTTCAACTCGGTCAAATTGCCTTTATTATTAACATTCATTCATTCCCCTCGAGTTTGCTAGCTCGTTGCCCGGGCCGGCCAATCAATTTTTCAAAATGATCACGCGAAACGTTCAACGGCGTAACGTGAATGTAAGTTCCATCGGTAATGCGTGTTAAACGACGATTGCAACAGGGACACCTACGAATTCGTCTGCCGTTTATTGTAAATGCACTACGCGCGTCTCGATGTGACATCAGCGTGTTACGCTTCGCGAGTGAATATTTTCAAGCGCGATGTATCGATGTACGATTGAGTATCGTGACTTGGCGAGCACGCTAACGATCGAGCGTGTTCACTGCATTCCGCTGAAGCTCGATGGCGATAAAGTTCACCGAAATCGTTTTCGTGCACGTGCCTTAACCCGTTTGTTCCTACTAGAACGAATATATATCCTACTGTTTGTAGGTTGACTTTAATATGTGCTCTGTGACATTCGTTATTACACGTGACTATTTTTAGCACCTGGATTGTTCCAATATTGGCGTGTTGATGATTACGAGATGTTTTTGAAGTATCTGATTCTGATTTAATCTACCTTATTTTCTCCTTCAATTTTCTGTCGCCAAAATACACTTCGTTTATTGTTGAATTCATGTACCAAAATATAATTTCGTTCGTTGAATTCATTTTTAACCAGAAATGTTTGTTCGAAACAGTTCGAAGTTTTAGTATCCCCGAAGCTCTTTGTCATCGATGATTTGAAAATAGAACAAGTTGTTAAGGTAGGAGTAAAGGTGGCATCGTAAACGTCGATCGTTTGATTTGGAGCTTGTCGATGCACGTGATCATCTCACGGCGTATAGTTATCGAGGAGAATTCTGCAGCAGCTGGTCGGTACCCGTTAGATATGCCCAGATCTCCTAAACTGTCCACCACCGTCTATTCTCGCAGCCCAAGGAAAACGTATCGTCAATACGATCTTTGAAACGGCTCGCAGCGTTTCTGGCCAACGTTAAACTTTCGTTTAACCATTTGACCATACGTCTATGTTTAGGTCCAACTGACGTTGATAAACCGGGTCGAATTCAAACGCTTCCGTAATAGTTATCGTCGGTCCAATGGCGATTCTCTTCGCCATTACAGCGGGCGATGAGTGTTATGAATGAATTTACAACATCGTCTTCCTCGATTCACACTCTGGGTGTCTTCTTCGGCTCTTCGTCGATTCGAAACGATCTGGCTGATTTACTTACACGTGACTCGAGAGTACCAAGTTCCATTAACTGACACCTATTCTCGCGGTGATCTCGCGGCTTCGTATTCACCGGCGATTTATTCGGAACGACTCTGTTAACAATTGTCGGCCGCCAGTTTCGCAGAATTCGCACATCAATTTAGCCAGACGTTACAGCTCCGCGAGGATTGAATAAATTTGCATTAACGAGGCACGCAGGTGGGGCCGTCGAGATACCAGATTTAGATGGGCCAATAGCAAATTGAGATTAGCCGCGGGTTTAGAAACGAGGGTGATTCACGCCGTGACGTTTCGTTTGTTGCGTCAAAAAGTCAGACACGCATTCGCATAACTTAGCCAGCCAGTTTCACGTTCGTTCGTCGGATAGAGATATATGTTCCGTGATATTGGACGGGTGACAAGTGTCTCGGATCGTTTGGATACGTTTAATCAGATTTCGAAGATAAATGGACCTTGACTGCGCGTAGAAGCGAGAAGACGTTCCATTATCTCGTTACAGTTCCATTATCTTGTTTTCGTATCTACGATTTCAGATCGATTTTTTTTTTTCGTTACCTTGCCTCTTATCGCGTAATTTTTAACTTTCGCTCCCATCTCTTGGTAAATACCCGTACCACCCGATAAGATTTAATGTATTCTTCGAGAAATTTAATTAAATTTAAAAACGCATCGAAAATATTCACTTCACACGACATCTTTTGTTCGCAGATGTGGCAATTAAGGTTTTGGATGTACCTTCTGCTCATAGCGTTGTCGTTGGCGCCGGTGCAACGAGTCGCGGCTTGCAGCTGCATGAGCAGCCATCCTCAAAAACTGTTCTGCAGTTCAGACTTCGGTAAGAATTCCCAAGAGAGTGAAATTCACTAGATCGTAATACCATCAAATGGCCTGCACTTGTGCTTTGTAAACACCGTTTTCTTCTCTTTCCTGTACGTAGTCGTTCTCGTAAGAGTGAAGAAAGTAACGAACGTGAACGAGCATGAAATCGCCTACAGCGTGAAAATCAATAAAATCTTCAAGGTTCGTATGGAAGTTGCAACTATTTTTACCGTTTTCTTTCGCCTCTTTTCGATCTAAATCCGATTGTTGTTTAATCGCAGGTGAATAGCAAAACATCGTACACCATCCTGAAGAAGAACATTTTGTGGACCGCGTCGTCGGAAGTTCTGTGCGGGGTGGACCTCAAAGTCGGAGAGACCTACGTTGTTAGCGGAAACACGTATAGCGGTGACAAGGCGAACATATCGTTGTGCGGTATAAAGATGGCCTGGCGTTCCGTGACGAGCAGACAACGAAAGGGTTTCAAGCACTTGTATCGTTACGGTTGCCCGTGTAGCGTAAGTAAAATATCTTCGACTCTTCGATCTTCTGCCGATTGCTTCTTTCGGAATGTAAAAGTCCCACTTTTATCGAAGGAAAAATTTAACTGTCTCTCCTGGGCAGCTAAAATCCTGCCCGATTTTACAACTTTTCCTCGTAGATAATTGAGTAGTTTATAACGAAGATAATCAGATAATTTGTCACTTGCGACATGTAGTTGCAGATTACATTGTGCAAGCGGGCCAGATTACTCTAGTAGTGAAATCACGATGTGTTTGATCGATACTGGCCAAAAATTCAGTTGACACTCTCCCGTGTAAGATGAAAGCTTCTTCTCTTTTCACTAAGTCACGCCACATTCGTTTCATATCGATTGCAGATCCATTACACGCCTTGGTGGACCAAGGGTGCCGTTCTGGAAAGCACAGACGGCAAAGAGTGCCTGTGGGAAAGCAAGCCGGGTCCTGAAGAGTGCCAGAGGAATTACGGCGTCTGCATGCCAGGACCACTCGGATGCTCTTGGGTGCCGTCGGTGCCTTATAAGAATTGCATCAAGGAGTATCAGCAGAAACGCGAGCAACAAAGAGCACGGGAACCTTAAGTCAATCTGTCTCGATGCATCGCGGAAGTTCTACGGTTGAACGAGAGGATCGATCACGCTGGCGAAATCGGTGGACGTTGCTCGTGCCAAGTCACGTAGCACGCTGTTCGAAACGTATTTACCAAACGTATTTGTGAAATTTCGCGGTATTGCCACGAGAATGTCACTTCGTGAGTAACGAGCGTTCCGATACGCAGCAGAACTGTCGCTGTATACCGTTGGATGCGAACACGTTGACGAATTAATGCTATCCATCCATCGTGTCCGTGCACGATTTATTTCGATTGGCTACTGTATCGGGCGTATATATCTTCACAGACGTTTCTTCAACAACCAAAACGGTCGGAAAAAAGTTTCTTGCAAGTCGAATTAGCCGAGATAGCATTAACGCGTGACGTGACTTTTTTTTTTTTTATTTCTGCATCGTGTCATGCTATATTTATTGTTGCGTTCCATTAGAAGTATTAATCGGACGGTTGTGCGTCGGCGAGTACGCAAAAGTCGTTCGTCGACTGATAAGGTACATCGGGGTAGCGAATCGAAGGATGAAAAATCGTACACGACTGGCTGAGAGGAAGCTGTTGTTCAGGGGTATATAAATACAAACCGTCGAACTGTTGAAATTGCTTGCATTTCCATGATAAATTACTTCCTCCGCGTTTTCGAGGTCTGTATTGCAGCGCGTCCGTAATAATTGATATCCTTTCTTCCTCCATTTTATTCTTTTTCTGACCGATCGTCGATTGTATTTATTCCGTTACTTGGGATCGTTGACTCTTTCCTTTTTCTTCCCTCTCCGCAATTGAATGTTAAATTGATCCTCGTTTTAAATTTAATCAACTTGCCGTCGAGAAGAATCGTCGACGGACAAACTTTGTTCGTATTGATTCGCATTGAAATTTTCCTCCTTCCATTTTGTTAATCAAACCGCTGTTAACCTTGTTTCTGTGTATTTAAACGAATCGTTCGCCAAGCTCGGCAATGCGAATCGATTGAATTTCATGAATTCTAAAATAGCAGATCATGAATTCTAAAATACAGACGATTGGCTATCTTTTTAGTTGTACATATTAGGCTATTGATGTATATTATACATGTTTAAATTATTCTCATTTTTTTTTTTTTTTTTCATTTTGTTGTACGTAGCTACTTTTTATTCTCTTTCTTTTCCTATGTAAGAAGCTACTAACACGTATTTAATTTAAAGCGAAGCCTTGTACAGGTTCTCCGAATATCGACATAACGTAACGATCGAATTAGCTACCTTGGAAAAGTTAAATAAACAATTGAAAAAGGAAAAGAGAAACTATTCAGAAAACGATGATTAAGGAATGATTAGTTCCTCATCGAAGAAGACAAAGTTTCTGTCTTCAACGATCACGTTGTCTCGTTATTCGGAGGGTGCACGAAAATGCTGGAACGTCGTATTAGAAATGTTACGATCGAGTTTTAGATTCTCTAATCCATCAACCATTGCATCTAAGCGTGATGATCGCGTGTCGTTTCTCGAGAACGATTCTTGAACAGACTGCGAATTTTTACGCATTAACGAGAAATCCGATGAATTGAATTCACGAAAATTCGCAGAATGCGTGAAATGTACGAAAATATATAAAATATTTAAAGTAAAGCGCTCGTCATTCACCTTCCAAAGGTGAAAACAAATTTCCACGTATCTTGCGTTTCCTTACGTCCATTTGCCAGAGTATAAAACTGCGTAAAAATCTGCGATCTAGCGACGAGAAGCGAAGACCGCCCTGCACACGGGTAGAACTTTAGTACAAAACGCTAAAAAAAAAAAAAAAAGAAGAAGAAAACGCGCAACGCGAACGAAAGTTAGCTGACATTTTCTAGCTTTGTGAACGTAACACGAGACGATGTATGTTCGTAGTTCTTTAGCTCTACCATTTGATAACTTTTGTAAAGTATTATAACACTTGAACGATGGTCAATAAACGAGAAACTTATATACGTTCGTTCTACACGTAGACGCGAGAGATGTTGTCTTTGATCCAACTATAATCTGTTACTCACCATTTCACGATGGTTCGGATAATAAGTTTGCTCGATCAATGGGAAGTTGTCTTTCCCCAAACGACGTTGGAGTCCAAGTAGGTGCGCAAACACCCATGGTTTGTCCTGAAGGAACGGTCGCAGTTAAGAAAGCCATTTTCTATGCTAAACTGACAAAGTTCTTAATCGTTCTTTTTATTCGAAGTATTTTCAACTTGGCCGTTGAAACTCGCGTACAAGTTCGCGTACCTGAAAGTTGTAAATTGCCGTGAGGTTGTTAACGCTCGGGACACCGCCGTACATTAAACCGAGGAGAAGGTTCTTGTAGTCTTCACCCGCGTCCTTTAGGTTTTGTCGTATCAGGACGAAATCTGGCTTGAACGATCTGTCGACAGGATTTCTCCGCTTTATTTCATGCAGTTGAAATACACGTAACAAGTAGACTGTAGATTTTATGCATTTATACGAAATTGGAGAAAATATTTGTATCTGAAGAATCATGCTTTTTATAATATTTATCAATATTTGTAACAAGAAACAATCTCCTGTTCCATTATCCTCAAAAACGCGATTCATGGTCTAATAATAAAAATGGCTCCAATCCGTACCAATAGGTATTATACTGCTGATATTTTAAATATGATTACGTATCCAAGTTTTTCTTTCTTTTTTTTTTTTCATCTCCAAGTTTCTCACAAATGCATAAAAATGTACGGTTAAGCAGCGAATACGTTACGTCAGATAGATTGAAAGATAACATTACCGGATGACTTTGGTCCCGTTACGATAAACCGCCATGGACACAACAGTGCCATTCTCGCTCGCAGTCAACGACAATTCCCGAAATTCCGCCTGTTCTACGCGGATCTCGTAATCACCGTGAAGCCTACGACCCCGGAAATATTTGCTCCAGTCGGTATTCTGGTCGTCGATAACCAGCAAGGTGAAACATCGATCTTTGTTGTAAGACGGCCCTCTGGTCGCGCCTGACACCGCCGCTCCCAGAATCGATGCACCCTGATTGCAAAGAAAATTCAGACAATTAACTAAGTTTCCTCGATTATTGTTCTTCTTGAAAGAACACCAATTTTTCTTTCACGCTGCAATGCAACGCTCGGAAAGTTGCACTATCAATAATATCGGTTAATGAATACCGAAAAGATTAATGGAATTTCGCGCACGCGAATGTTCGCAAATCTCTTTGAATGCAACAAACATCTCACCGAACATGCAAGAACGCAATTTCAACTAGAAATCTGGCACGCGTCATTCTGTGTATCGATGTTTTTGCACCATACGTGGAAACGTGGTCTGTTTGAAAAAAGAAACAGCAGCTATTTATACATATAATGCGCGTTACTCGTTCGTGAAATTGAACTTGAAGATGAAACTCGTTCGCGGAAGTCATCATGCTCACTCGTATATCTCGCGTACGGTGATAAACCAAAGACGGTTTAAGAGGTGAGCGAGGTACGAAACACATGCTGTAATTTCAGAGAATGATGTTACGCCTGACAAGAGGAATAAATAGACGTAATGTATACCCCGGAACAAATGACAGTCACTAACATGGCAGAAATATCGTGTAATAGAAAAATTGCTAATATCCATGTTCCTTTCGTTCAACGGACGTACAATTTGACCCTCATCATTCCGACGGATTGCAATGCTACCAAGTGCAAGTCAGGCTTCTCTCCCATTTGCTATCACCGCCGCGAACGTTTTATACGAATTTATCCTATTTATTTAACGAAATAGAACTACGTAAGAATATTATATTTTATAATTTTTCCATTGTTTTTTACTATCCTTTCAATATTTTATAATTTTCAATGCTTTATGTATAATGTATTTCCTCCTTGAACTCGAGGGAATATAACTGCCTAGCGATTGGAATTAAAAACTCGTACAGAAAATTTAATTATTCTTCCGAAGCATTCGAAGAAGAGAATTGAACGTGCCTGGTCGCGAGCAGCTCCGGTCAGGCTCTGAACCCTCTGAAGCAAACTTTCCCTGGTCTTGGCAGGCGAGGAAGGAGCGCTGGTGGTTCTCGATCCGGGCCTCAGGTTCAGGCTCAGGTCGCCGCCAACGGGCTGAGGTGGTCCAGACGGCGGTGCACCGGGTACCGGTGGCTGGCTGGCCGGTGGAACAGGCGTCGGTTGGGACTGCAGTGGCCGATCCGGTACCGCTTGATACGATTGGGACGAATCCCTGGCCATGGAGGCCAGCCCGGAGTCTGTGCTTGGTTCATCGTCGAGCTCCGAGCTCAAATCCCCTGACGAGAACCTGGAAGACAAACTATGGTCGTGGTCGTGATAGTGGCAATAGGTCCGATCGTCCAGTGATTTCACGCTTTTTGCTTTCTCGTTTCTTTCTCTTTTTCTTTTTTTCTCCTCTTTTTTTTTTTTTTTTTTTTTTTTTTTTTTAGTGACGTGGAGAAAATCTTCTAAAAGACATTCCTGAGGGAGAATGACCGGATAGTGCCGGATTTGTACCGGTTAAAACCTCCACGATAGCCTACCTCTTGTCCATTATTCGCATTTCCGGATCCGAGGTATTTCTCTAGAATTGCTAGACATTTTCGTTTTCCTCTCTAGTTTATAAAATTTTGCCATTTTCCTTCCCGTAGCTATGTGTCGTCGGCCATAAAACGAATCATGTCTACCCGGGGTCTGCAACAGTATCTTCCCTCACCGATAACCGTTGCATGCCTGCAGGTGAGTCCGACTGCACTTTCTCTGTAGAATGCGTCTTTTTTATATTTTCTTCTTTTCGTTCCGTTTCATATTTTCTCTGAGAGTTTCCTTCTTCCTATTCTTTTTGCCTTAAATCTTCTTCTCTTTCTCGCTTTTCTTATAGAGTTTATTTACTCATTTTCTCGATCTTTTTCTTCCTTCTTTCTCATTATCTCCTCACAGAAAGTTTGTAACGCTAAACATTTACTTCCCCCTTGCGCAATGGTAAGTATAATCTTATTATGCGTTAATTTTTCCCCTAACTTTCTTCCAATTCTTCCCGACTTTGACTAAATACACTGCTTTCAAATAACGAGTGTTCCGCACTATCACTACCACTTAAACACTCTGCACTTTGTACTGCTCCAATTTTCACAAGATAATTTGCAAAACAACCATGTCCCGTAATTAATTGTGTTATCCTAAAAGTTAAGTTACTCGGTCCATTTTGTATCCACAAGTCCCAGTTTTTTATTATTGATTTTACGAAGGGGCGCGATGTCACCCTTGACGTGGTTATTTCATTTTTCCAAGAGTCATATACCTCTTTTTTAGCCTAAATCCGGAGTCTTATTTTCTCAGCTTTTGTTATTGATATTCCTCTCCGCTTGATTATCCGTGTTTGATAATATATATCTCTCCACATTTCAACTTCTTTATATAATGCGGCCGATCCCGCCAACAATTCGTTTGGTGTAGTCCTAGATGCTCTTGCGATTCTTATCGCCATGGGGCGTTGTAAGCTGTTCAAAATTTTCTTTTCCCTTCTTCCTATACAATTTACCCTTCCTATATAATTTAGGATAACACATTTTCATAAAGCTGTCTTGTTCTATATCCTGAACCGCATATATTCGGAAGAATGCGGCCTGTAAACCTTACTGTCCTTTCTTGGGTTTAAGTGTCTCAAAATGGTACAAAAAACTTAACTTACTATCCAGAATCACGCCTAAATATTTAATTCTATCTTTTATTATCATTCGCTGGTTGTTTATACTTATCCATGAGAGTGGTGGTTTCCTGGTCTTTGCAAGGCCATAAAACCATAAGGCTTCCGTTTTAACGAGCGCTATATTTAGTTCTAATATTCTTATTTCATTAGTGACCGCTGCTACGGCTGCTTTTGCCATTCTTATCGTCCTTGACCATGTGCTACCACTCGCGATTATTATCGTATCATCCGCATACGCGATTATTTCTACCCCGTCCAGGACCGCTGCCCTGAGAACCGAGTCGAATCCCAGATTCCAAAAGAGCGGGCCCAGAACAGAGCCCTGTGGGACACCTCTCTCCATTATTCGCTGGGCGAGAAATAAGTACTTCCTATATTAACTAATCTTCGTATTTTTAAGGTAATCTTTAATTATTCTTGTTAGGTATTCTGGGACCCGATGCCTGATCAATGAGATGTTTATCTTAGACCATGAGAGAGAATTGAACGCATTGGCAATATCGAGTTCCACCGTTTTCCAGGCCAAGGTGATCACCCTGTCAATCGCATCGATCGCAGAGCGACCCACCCTGAATCCGTACTCTTTTAAGGTGTTTCCAGATTCTATCTACCATTATTTTCTCCAGCATTTTACTCATTTCACTAATCAGGCATATCGGGCGATAAGCCGATCGTCCTTACCTGGTTTTAGAATCAATACAAGTCCCGCATTTTTCCATTTATTCGGAAACTTTCGTTGAAGAGCTCTTTTATGTCTTCTTTCATATACGTTACTACTACCGCCAAAACTTTGCTCGGAATACCGTCTATCCCAGGGGTGAAATTTCGTTTCACTATCCCTTTGATTGCTGTCGATATCTCGGTTATGTCACTATCTAGGATTTCATTTCTTTCATAGTGCGTTCTCATACCTATGGTCAGCTTTAGGAAATAGACTGTCTAGAATATTTTCCAGGGTGTTAGTTGGAAGAACTATTGTGCTTGGAAGCATCTTCTGTTTATTCTTTCCTAGCACTAGCTTATAGGGTTTCCCCCAAGGATCTCCGTCTATCCCCTTCATTAATTCATTCCAAGATTTCATTTTAGCATTCTTAATTTCAATTCTTAATTCATTAGAAATTTCCAAGTATTCTTTTCTTAATTGAAGTTCCTGTAAGTGTTGGTTATTTTATTTTCTTCGCCTGCATCTTTGCAACGCTCTCCTTGCTTTCAAATTGGTTCTTCGTAATTTCTCTATCCTTTGATTCCACCAATAGGTCGCTTTTTTATGTACAGGACGTGATCTCGGCAGTTTATAATTGCAAATCTTTACTAATTTTCTTTGTAGTCGACTCACTCTTTCCTCTAGGTTTATTGATTCCGACCTCCCCATAACCAGATAACTGCCTGTATTGCAGTTAGCAAGTTATCTGTATTAATCTGTTTTAAAGCCCATTTTTTAAATTGGGAATGGGTTCCACTTTCCCTTTCAAAGATTCCTTTCTTGGGATGAAGTCGACACTTATCCGGGTGACCCCTCGGGAGGGGGGGGGGGGGGGGAGGATAGATTTATTATTATATATCTGTGGTCGCTTAACAATTTCACATTTTTTTAAAACTTTATAGTTTTTTGTTATTTTAACAACTTCTGGTGTCGCCCAAATTAGGTCGACTACCGACTCTCCTCTCCATCGCATGCAAGTGCTAATTCCCCGGTTATTAAGTGTATATCCCACTCAACTGTCCACGAGTAATCTGCCTCTAAGATTCGCTCTCGAAGGGCCCCACATCTCCGATCTTGCGTTAAATTCCCCAAGAACTATCACTCGTTTAGTATTCGAGACTTTCTGCATTTGTAAACTAATATCATTTAACATATTGCAGAACTCATCGACTGACCAGCTGGGCGGGGCATATGCTCCAACCACCATTATGTCCCCATGCCACTACTACGAAGCCTCTCCCTGTACAAGGGTTCTCATGGGGTTCTCCCACATTTCCATTGCGATGGATAGCTACGCTTTTCCATCCTTTCTGCAGTCTAGTCACTATCATGAATATCTGCATAGGGTTCGCAGATCACTATTAAACTTATATTTAATTCAATAATTATTTGCTTCATTAGTTTCTGCGCAGCCATAGAATGATTAATATTAATTTGGCCAATACGCATTATTCTATTATTCTGAAATATCCATTCCTTCACCTTCTTCATCTTCCTCTCTGTCCTCAGAGACATTATTTTCCATATTTCCCCTTTCGTTTCTTTCCACTCTATTTGTTGGTGATTTTTCTCCTGGTGGATTGCAATTTCCACTTTCTAAGCGATGATCGGCTGGTATCCCCAGGTCATGGCATATGGGGCACCTTGGCGGCGATTTGCAAGTTTTTGCCATATGTCCTTTATCTTCGCATTTGAAGCATCTGCCACTGCGGTCGACCGGGTCTCGGCACTGACTCTTCACATGGCCTGTCCTCAGGCATCTGAAACAATTATTGTATAGCCTGTCCGGCGAACCGGCACAACGGCTTTGCGTCCTCGCCCACGAGGGGCATACGCCACACAATCATTCCATCTACCCCCAGTTTCGCCACTGCCTTCGGGACANTTTTTTTACGTTCAGTTCACACGACTCGGCTCGGATAATGCACACATCGAACAGCCAGATGCTCGGGGTACAAACGGCATAGATGACGCGCCGGCGATGATGGACGATTGCTGATTGTTGGTTTGCATGCGTGACACGGGCGTGCGATGACACGTTTGGTTCTGATGCGCGTACACAACTCGCACAGTCTGGGCTGGTGACTTTTAACGGCTGGGCACGTCTGATGCGTTGCGTTGCCACGCGTGAAATGCGGCTCGATGATCGCAGACGACTTTTCCCTGACGACGAGAGATGACAATCTGGGATGACAGGTAGCCGATAACGGGCGTATCGCTCGCTCTGACAATAAGTCGTAACGCGGGATGCCTGGTAAGCTTGAAATGGTCTTAAATATCGTTTACGGGGGTTCGAATGATACGAAGCGTCGACTGTAATTAACAAAAAGTTCTCTTTAAAGCATTTAAATCACTCGGCTGACTAGTGACCAAGATGGAAAACGTCGAGGCTTCGGGGTTTTCAGTCTGCACGATGCCGAAAGCGTTCTCTTGGGTAATCATGCACACATTTATGGAGATTTATGGAACGTGTGAAGAGAAACGTGGAAATGCTTGCATTCGGGATTTCGCTCGTTTCGCACATTTTTGCCATCGTTAATGTAATTCGCTTAATTGTACTCTAATTAAATAAATAGCCGGTACAGCGCGGTTGGAATTGTCGGTTGAACTCGAACATCGGCCGTTAATCATAGTTCAATGGATAGATCGGACAGCTTGGAGATAATTGGAACGAGCAACTTACTCGCCGTGATGTTACACGAACGTATCTCTCCGTTTGGAATATAGACGACACGTTCAACGAAACTTTATATCAAGATGGTCGTTCGTTATTTTAAGCTTCCATTATGAGACGCTGTCCTCAGATTCAATGAAAAGGCCGCGACAAATGTGCACCTCTACAAGCATCTGTCGTACAACGACCCGAAACGCTCTTTGTTTCGAGTTGCTCTATACATTTCCATCTTCTATTATGAATGTATCTGGACGTTCTCAACTACGTGGAACAAAGTGACAATTTTCATCGCTCGCCCGGACTTTAATCTCTCGCGACGTTTCAAAACGAGACGTTTCAACGACCTTTCGAGCGTTAACGTTACTTTACAATGTCTTGATCGTCTCACAATTTTTTTCTCGTCCACGCTTGCGTATATTTCCGTCAATCTGTCATTCCGAAACAATTGAGATCTCACTTTTCAAACGTTCGAATCTTACTGCATACCTTACTGCGAAAGCAATAATTTTCGTTAATTCGCCGATCGTTGATCTTCGAACGAGTTGCGTAACTGGTATCGCAGCCATTGACAGCTATCGACAAACAATCTTTCGAGCCATCGTACGAGCAAATAGAAAACCGCGGAGACGCGAAAGCGTCGCGCTTCCGAATTCCACGAATCTCTCGAAAACAGTCACAGAGGGGAGAGTAAAAGTATTGCGGGGCGGCGGGGGGAGAAGAGGAGAGAGAGTTCCATCGAGCATGCAGAGAGAAGACCACAGAGAGAATAGGCATCGCGCTGTTGGACGTTTGAAGGGGGCTTGGCACTCACCTCCGTTTCAGGTAGTTAACATTGGAGGTGAAGGACTGTCGAAAGCTGGAGAATGAAATGTTGCCGGGTGAAGGAGCTGTACCACAGTATTTGGCGCAACCGCCGCGGCCGGTAATCTTGCTGGTTTAACACCGACCTCGTCCCCCTGACGAAAACCGCAGGATTCCCGGTGGTCTTTGGCGGTCGGATGCTCGCCGACGTACGCGACGATCCTCGTGTTCTTCGGTTGGCTTTGGTGACCGGGAGAGAGGAGAGGGAGAGGAGGATTCGTGTCTCGGAGTTGACGGCTCGACGACGACGTTCACGAGCGACTTGTCCCTTTTTGTTGCGTACCTTTTCCCCCGAAGTTGCGGAATAACACTTCAACGTAAGGTAATCCGAAAGGAAAGGATGAAATAAGAGAGGTGAGGAAGGAGAAACTAAACAATCCAAGTTGAAATCTGCAATGGGAATGGTAGACGACGATTAGAGACGGCTAGACATTGTCCATTGACGACGAAACACGAGGATGGATTAATATAAAGTGCTACAATTTCGTAAGCACCCTTTAATACAGCGGCTTGTGACGCGTTTGTTACGTAAAGGCGCGAAATAAAGACGTTACTACAGAGAGAGAGAGAGAGAGAGAGAGAGAGAGAGCGAGGCAGTGGTATATAAAGTATTATCCCCGGACAAAAGTGTCGTTCAAATTTTTAATGCCCTTTTCAAAAGAGGCCGGAGAGAAGTCGTTGAAAGCTACGGAAATATCAGTTGACTGATATAAAAAGAGAGGAGATAAACTCTTTTTCTGCTCCCTCTGTTCTTCCTTTTTTTCTTTCTTTCTTTTTTTTTTCACACTGAAGTATCTCTATAATTAAACGTTCGTGTTATTAGCAAGAAACAACAAGAGCTCGTGCGAAGGCCCGCGATAAAAACGTCCACGCGAACGCTCGGAGCGCGCGAGAGATGGAGACCCCTCGCAGAAATTTAGCACAGCGAAAGTAGAGCTTGATATTCCGCTGATCGATACCACGACCAAGCGTGACTTTATACGCCGAGGAATTTTTTTTTATTTTTTTTACACGACCGGTGTTTTGCCCCCCTCGGATGGGAAGCGTGATTTGAACTCGGATATCGAATCGCCATAGAGATCGCCTGATAACGGTTTTATTGCCCCGTACTCGTATCTTTAGCCAACTGCTGGCGATGTTAGGAAACGGAGAGTTGCAGAAATGCACGTTTCTACGAACAAAAAAATAAAAAAGAAACCGATAAAATCGGCGTTCGCCCTCGTTCCCATTCAAATTACCCGGAATTACTCGCTGGTGTTGCTCGTGAATGCCACACGCTATTCCGCGATCGTAAAGCAAAAAACAGAATCGAGTAAAACGCGCAAAACGGAAAGAGAGAGAGAGAGAGAGAGAGAGAGACTCGAATGGAAACTTTTTTCCCCTGAACGACGAGAAAAGTTCAGTTGCCTGATTTCTTTATACTTCCAGCCAGCTACTCCGATTTCTACGCGAATAAATGCATTTTCCAATCAGAATAACTGGAAACTTTAAACTAACGAAGTTTACAGAAACGCGGCAACTTGGCTGACTACCTGAATTCAGTTAATCCGACAGATTCTAGATTTAATCGAATCTTGGATGAACTTGCACGAATTTCACCCTCGCTTCGGATTTCCACGCGTTTTTCACGCGCGTCTCCGTTTCCTCGCTCTCGTAATTGACTGTAAGACTACTGGACTGTCTATCTTGTTGTTAGACGGGAAATTCAGCTCGTTTTATATCTCTGTTTGAAGTGTATTAAACTTCAATTAACGGACGTTGACGACAGTTTCTAATTTTAACGTGGGGCAACAATTTTTCAAACTGTTGACAGTAGACAGTTACGTAGTTGAGTCTCGCAAAGAGCAGAGTGTGATAGAAAGTTTCAAATCAATAGATTTCACGGCGCACCCTTCTGCTCAAACATTTACCGTGCAAAGTACGTATTCTGGCATAAAGTATGTTTGACAATAACGTGTGAACAAACTTCCTTTTCAACGTGCTGGATAATAATTTTCTCAATTAATCTCGCCGCGAGAGATGCGATTGTACGTGTTACGCGTTTATATTTTCATGGATCTACGTCGTTCACGTTATCTCTAGAGGTTTTAGCTTAGACTCTAGTAATAATCGATGACGGAAGAGTCCCTAGGTGTTAGGAAAGGGCAGGCGCATTGACCGCCCAAAGCTGCGCACACAGAAACGTGCACCTACCGTGAAAAAATTGAAAATAAATGAGAAGAATACTCACCGTTGAATATTCAATTCGGGAGTAATTGCAAATTTATTTACATTTGCATCAACGTTAAATTTATTCCGATAATTGATGAACGTTTTCTTGTTTGTGGAAATGGGCGTAGTATAGTATCTTTAATCCAATCACTCAATGTTTTTCAAACTTGAAGCAACGTGTTACCTCTGTCAGCTTATACTTGTTAAATTCTTTTTGTTAAGTTGCCTACACTTATTGTTACAAATATACGTATTTGATATTTGGTTAGTAATATCATTTGTTTAACTTCTTCATAATCAATGTTGCACGACAGAATTTTTCCCAAAGAGACAGAAAAGCCAGGCAGGGGGAAAAAGTAAAAGGTAAAAATCACAGAAACAAGACGTCACGTGAAAGTAACGCGCAACGTACCCGCGTGAACAGTCACGTCACTTTATGCACACTGTAAATTGCAATCTCGTATTCATCGATCAACATACTATATCGTTGCGTTTATAGGATCCCGCGTGAATTTAAACCGAATACGAATCTCGACCAACAATGTACTTGAAACAGAGAACTGATTACGAATCACTGTTATCGTCTGATGAAAAAATTTTTTACTCGTAATGAAACACTAAGCTACAGTCCATGAATTTCCTATTTGTTATTATTAGAGGGCTGAAATGTAAATAACTCGTTCAATTTTATTTAACATCGAAAAAACCGGCGTCACAATTACTTGTATAAAAACATTAGGATTACGTACGGAAAAGAAACCGAAAAAGAAAATAGCCTCCGGCTAAAAATCAATTTCCTATTCCTTTCAATCCGCCAATAACCGCCGCGAATAATCCACGATCTCCTTGCCAAGAACTGTGCCGACTACTGGTCGGTGCCAAACATCGAACTACCAGAAAATAATATAAATATCGTTGAACATACAGAAGCAATCTATGAACCGGTTTGTTCGATCCTCGACCGACCTTTCGATCAGACGAATTTTCTCAATCGTTGACTTTGTCATTAACTTTCGGCGTTAGGCTCTGCTTACAGATTACACTTAGGAGGCAAGAACTGAGGAACTGGTACTCACCTGTGTCGCGTGCGTGTACTACCCACTAGTTTGCCGGTGAAGCAGTGAGCCTCGGCCGAGGATCGCGAGGGTGTTACCCGGAGGGTTAGCTGGTCGATAGGTTGACGCTTGCGTTCTTCTTATCATCCCCCACCAGCGTATCGCGAGCTAACGACTAGGGGAAAAAAGGGACGAGCCCCTGTGTTTCCCGATATGCCCGGTCCCGGTTCTCTCTCGTGTTTGTACAGGGTGACGTTGTTCGATGCACATCAAACACGCTCCACCTGCTGGCCGGTGGAAGATGAAACGTCAGGTTATGCATTGGTAAAACACGATTGTCTGTGCCTGCGTCCTCCCGAATGGGTTTGCGCGTCTCTGCCCGGTCGAGACCATCTCTGCGCGTCGTCAAAATCCATAACCAACCGCGAGACCATCTCTGCGCGTGAAACGAAATTAAAATGGGAGGATGGAGGGACACGTAACTCGAGAGCAAATTGAACCCCGGGAATATTGTTTTTCCATGTTATTTTTGTGCAATCTCCAATCGTTTCTCTCTTTCCCCGATACCGTAATAATTATAGAAAGCGTAGCCGGCGAGATGTTGATTTCTCGGTTCTCTCTCTCTCTATCTCTCTCTCTCTCTCTTTCGTTACCACCAGCCCACTCGACCGTTCGGCTCCACGTTCCGGAGAAGCTCGGGCTGCATAAAAGAATTAATGCAGCGACCCAGTTATTCATGATTCCTCGGCGTTGCACTTACCGAGCTTTTGTGCCTATGGAGATCGTACTTTGAAATCTTTCGGGAGATAGAATTTCTATTGTTTCCGAGAGCACTGCCGGTGGTTACGTGCGCGTACATGTTGTAGCTAACGTACGGAAACGCGGAAACGAATTCTTTCTTTTTTTTTTTTTTTTTTTTTTTTTTTTTTTTTTTTTTTTTTTTTTTTTTCTAGAGTGAAATTTCTTTGTACGTGGCCCGGTGTTTCTGTGCGGCAACGTTGCTTTACGTTCGCGTGCGGACGCAATAAAATTGATATATTCGCGACGATGGCCTGTCCTCTCATGTATTACTATAGACACGAGATAGTATTCAACGTTCGAGAAGACGGTTCTCTTTTTCTTCCACGCTTTTCTCTCCCCCTCTCTCTCTCGCTCTCTCTCCTTTTATACTACGCTGGGTTTAAAACGTTTCCTACCTTTTTTTTTTTTTCTGTGGAAAAGTAGGTCACAAACAGTTCTTTCGGGATGAAAACTCTCAAAGGAAACAGCGGCGTCTGGATTTTCATTAAGATTACGCTTACGGGTTGTACGTCTCGCCTTGTTACGTACGAAAATATGAATTACCGGTGGCTCCTCTTTGTCTGTTAATTCTATTTCTTTTACCTACCTCCGAATTTCCCGAGGGACCAATTAAACAACCACTCGGCTTAAGTAGGTGCCGTCGTGTTAACACGTAAGAAAAATGGCCCGAGTAAAAACTTTTGTAACCCACGTGGCGTTAACTTTTTATCACCGCTTTTAAAACGAACGTTTCCTGTTATATTTGTTAGCTCATTTTGTATACCATCTCGGTACACTGTTTTTTTAGAAGAACAAAAATCTAAACATGCGTAGTATGTATAAAAAAATGTATAAAATATCCAAAACAATGTTATCTGTTGTAATTTCTGCTTAGCTCCCATCTTATCAGTCGTGTTTGTAAAACTATAAAATCGTGTGTATCGATATATCTTACGTTATATGTACGTATGCAATTGTTAGCTTGATATTGACAAAGTGTAGTCACGCTACGTTTGCACTGTCCATGCGTAAAGATATCGATGCATCAGTACACGTCTTGAATAGTTCTCGCGTCATCGATGAACGATCCTATAAGCATCCTATTGTTTTCGACGTTCGTCTTTGTCCGTATCGCGATAACTTAAGAGCTACTACGACAATACCTTTCCAAGCGTCACGACAGTCCTGTAATTTCTACAGTCTTCGTTCAGTCAATATCTATTGAATCGTTTGTTCGACGCAATTGTTCGATTATCGCCAATGCGTTTACATTTTTGCTACGTGATCATCAAATGAAGTAACAAACGTTCAATCCAAATGTTCAAAATGCGAAGACATTGATTTCCTCCGGCGTCGAATTCCGACTTTCGAAAATTTAAAGCTTTAAAGAGGATGAATCGTTTTCCAAGCCACTATCTACGCTTGACAATTTCAATCTAAAGAGAACGTCTTTTAAAACGTATTATTATTTCATTTATTCGACTCGAAATTCGAAATATCATCTTTTCCCCTTCCATCGACGTTGGTATTGAAACGTAGTTAGAATCGAGTGATATTTCCATTTTCACCTTTTTTAAAAATAAAACGTCACGGTCTGCAAATAAGGTCGTCGTCTGGTGAAAAACTAGTTAGAAAACCATGCGGGAACGTTCTAGAATTCCCCAGGCACGTCGATAAAGCCGTTCTCTACACCGAACGATACAACACGTGCACAGTGCTGGCCTCGTACAACAACCACGAGAAATGTCTGTTGGCTCATCGCCGGATTCAGAGACATGAACGCGTGGATAGCATGCAACATCGGATGAAAAGGGAATGGCCGCTGCGGTACGATCCATCCCCACCAAAAACGCTGAACACCTGAGCGTCTCTGGGGGCAGCTCAGGAGGAACAGTCATTATTGCGCCAGTATAACACTCGCTTCTAGTTCTCTTGAACGAGCAACTCGAGTTTTCCAGACATCAGCTCGACACGAGCTCGCGATCCCGCCGTGTTTACGTATTCCAGTCCAGGGTTCTCTCTCGCTCGGCTCGCCGTCACGGAACCGCGTGGCCGCCTCGAAAAACCGATTCGATCATTCGCTGAACGCGCGCGTTACGATGAGATCGTTCTCAGGAAACAACGAAAATGTGACGTGAGACTGGCCTCAAGAGAGCCTTGGCAAGAACGTGACACGTTTCGTCGCAGTCGATCGTTCGGTGTGGCACGCGCTCCGCCAAAATGCCAGTGAGAAGGACCAATTTTCATGCGTTCACCAGTGCGCTTGTGTCGGTACTGTGCTTGGTCCTGGTGGCGCTTCGTGTCGGCCAGGTAAGTTTTGGCACTGTCCATCAAATTTTGCGCACCGTACATTTTACAGCGATCTCATTCACGCTGTCGATGAATTAGACGATTCGTTAGACGAGATTCTTAACTGTTTCGAGTGAAATAATTGTTACTTACGTAACAATTTCGTGTTACGGAGTTGTGTCACGTTAAGGAACTTTGTCTGGATCTAATGGATATTTGTAATCTTCTATTTAACTAAACTCTTGTGGATCTGACTCTCGGATCGATGCCATCATCGAGAACTAAGTAGATCTAGACAGATACGCGCCGGTACGCAGGTTTGGATGCAACAGTTGTACTGTTACTTGTCGTCAAGTCGTCGATTCGTTGGCGTGTTGTTAATTTGGGTCGAGCGACACGCTGATATCGAAACGGAAGATGACTGTTCTCGTTGGGATAACGCGAGATACATGTAAATGCGCATTCCCTGACGATAAATCGCCGCGATCGAGTACGGCGTCTCCAGCTGACTCATTCATCTCGCGCGAGTACACTCCCGTCGCTTTTAAATCGATGTCCCCGATGCTCAGCCATTAAACAAACAAGAAAAATTGTACAACAAACAGCAGTCATAAATTCATCGTTATCTTGCCATCCGAATAATTTGGCAAGATCTTCGTCTTCGTTAGGTGAATCACGACCAACCACGAGGACTCGATCGAACGGTACTCGAACGTAATGTCGCGAAATTGTTCTTGGAAAAGCGGTTCGCCTAGGAATTCGTGTGCTCGCGGCGTAATACGATACCCTAACGATGATCTATCGACAAGGAGGCACGATAACGATCGTGAACGTTACCTTTCTACATTGTTTCGATAAAAGTATCACGGCGGTATCACGGTGAGAAAAATTCACGTAGACACAGGTTCTGGTGCTGAAGCACGGCCAATTTCGCTGGTTCTTCTTGTGAGATTTCTTCGTCTCTCTCTCTCTCTCTCTCTCTCTCTCTTTCTCTCTCTCTCTCTTTTTCTCTCCTCTGTTCTATCTCGTTTCAGTATCGAAATGTATCGTACGTCGAATCACAGCGAACCATTCGGATCTGCCCATTGCCAACAAGAATGCGGGCTAACCGCGAGCACGATCGCGTTCACGATCACGCGTGTGCGTGTATCGATGAAACGAGCCTCGAATGCGTGAATTGCACAATTACGTGTGCCGGATAAAACAGCGGACAAACGAACGGTGTGTATTTATGCGTGAATTGAATGGAGGATACAGACGTACGTACAAAGCTCCAATGTTCCAATGGAATGTAAATACTGGGTGAATATGAGAAACGTACCTAACGGATCAAACCGCGTTAATTTTTAATTTTTCAAAGACAGCCAGGGAGACGAAGAAAATATTCTCGACGGATAATCCCAGGCTATTCACAAGCTTCACTTTCACAGTTTATATGAATAATGGAGGAGACAGACGAATGCTTTCAACGAGAAATTCCACGGTTCCGCCGGTGACTGGATGTTTGCTTAGACTGGTTTCTAACGCGTTCCTACGTAACGCCTGACGCAACGGACACCCGGTATGCATCGTGCAAACACCGTACCGTTTAAGTGGGCAGTGGGAAACAATGATGCACACAGCCGCTCGGCCGTATACCACTCCCCGCGGACCGAACTTTTACTTAATTAAAAAATCTATTTAACAGGAAACTGGCCTTGCCTCATACGGGGCTATCTGCCGCGTAAATCGTAGATACAACTTCGCTTTGGTTCGAATCCCGCGCTTATAAATAGACCTTATGCTCGGCGGCACTCTCTCGCCGCGTCTCTCGAGCGTCGTCGGTGACATTTTTTACGTACGCACAATTACGCACGTGTCAGCGACGAGAAAGATCGGGGATCAGGGTGTATATACCCAGGCGAATGTTATCGAAATCGGCGATACGCTCTGAAAAGCTTCGCCACACGAGCGATTCGAAAGCAAGTCGCGCAAGCTCGCCGGGAATTTTAATGGTGGTTCGCCGGCTGTCCGGGTGAGCATCGGCAAATTAATTGCAAACGCATGTACAAAAGTTGTCAAGAATCTTAAGGCTCCTCTTCTTTCGTTCGCCGGCGATACTCGCCGGTCGGGGGCATTACCGATCGGCCCGTAATAGTAGGTGGCCTTATTAAAGCGCACGGCCTCGCCGCTGATCAATTTACACCACGCCGCTTTATTAATATTTATGAGTTCCCCGGCCGTGTCACCGTGATAGTAGAACGCACATACAGAGTGGATCCGCGACACGTCGAAGCGATAAGTACGGAATCGTTGCGCAATTATTTTACCACAGTTCGTTACGTTTCTTGCGCGCAGACGCCCGGTTACGAGCCATACGCCACCGTCTCGAAGAATGGAACGCCATATGAACGAGGATAATCGTAAAGTCGCGCTATCGTTGCCTGGCGGTTTTACCACCGTTAAGTCCGGAATTTTATTCCACAGTTACTTCAACATGCACCGCCGTATTCCGGATAATGGTAACGCCCCCCTATGGATTAATTTCTTAAATGATCGAATTATAACTCGGTTATGAGAAGTTATAATACCCCGAGTGCCTCCTAGCTTGAATGCTCTCTGTGGCACTTTTATTAATTGTAAAATTGCAGATTTCTGCTCCTTGCGAGTACTAAAAATACACTTTTATCGCGGGACCTTGCCAATAATTATTCTTCCGTTCAAACCAGAGATAGGTTAAAAGTTTTAAATTAAAAATGAAAATATCTAAATATTTAAATATTTAGTATAATATTATATTAATAATAATATTAAATGTAACAATATTTTAATATTTAAAAATGAAAATATCGTACGCGAATGTTCTTAACGTTAAATTTATAACGTAATAATTTCGTTTTTGACGAATCGTACGGTTCACGGCTGAGAGTAACTGATGCGTGTCACAACTGGTGTGACAACACAGGGCAGAAGAAAAATCGCCTCCCGGTTAAATATTCAATCGCGCCGCGAAGTGACGCAACGCAAACAAGACGTCGGAAGAAAAATTCCCATTCCCTCATCCTTGCACGCCTGTCCGTGTGCCATTCGGTGTCCTCGGGAGCGGCAAAGAAAGTCTCGCGCAGAAAATCTCCCGCTTCTCATATATATCTCATTTCTCAACTGAGCGGAGGAATCCGCATTTTCCGCGAGAATTCCGCCGAGCGTTTTGCGAAATCCGCGCACACGCTCGACGTATCGCTCCTTCTACGGCGAATCGACGGAATTTAAAACGGTGACACGGTGTCCCTCGCGTTTCATTCCACCCTTGTAATCCTCTTACGTCGAACGTTTTTCGACGAGCGGGCAACAACGAACGCCACGTTCGGCGCGTTCGTAAATTCAACCGTTTACAAGTCCACGCGGATAGCGATCAAAGATCACATTCGAATCGCGATTTCTACGCTCCAACGGCCGTGTCCGAGCGTTTCATATTTTTACCACGTTCCGCTTCGTCCAGGGACCTTGGACTTGAAGATTATATTTTCGCATCGATTTCTTTGCTCTGCTCGCTCGTTCGCTCTGGTATATAAAGTTCAAAGGTTAAGTCGAGAGCCGTCAGATTCGAAACTCGCGATAACACGCGTTCGAATACGTAGACACGTTACCAAGAGTAATCTCCCGATGCCGCGTTGGCCCGATCGCGAAACTAACCCCGGCGAATTGGAATATTGAAATCTTAAGTGGATGCGGAATCGATATCGGGACCGTTTCTCTCGGAGATGTTTCACGGTCTACCGGCGGCATAATGCAACGCGCAATTAATTCTTCTACGGTATTGCTTACGGTCGATCGGCCGTAGCCGAGGAATTCCAGCGAATTCGCGTCTCTTTGAACGAATGCTGCCGGAGTAAGAGGACGAGGCAAAGGGGACATGTCGAAGGAAAGCTGTCGAAGGATTTTCTTTTTTTTTTTTTTTCACTGGCCGTCGTGCGTAAGTGCATCGCCATACAGAGAGAAAGAGTCCGGGGAACAAAAACGGGCAGAACCGTTGTATACTTTTCCTCTCATCGGCGTGTCCATTTCGGGAGAACGAGCACGGACCAGATAGCTTCTCTGCCTACGCCGCAGAGACGGCCTACGTCTCGGCCGCGATAATATGTCTTTCCTTCGAGATTGCGAAAGGCATACCGAGAACGGGTATACCAGAGAGGGGTTATACGAGCGCCAGGAGAATATCGACGATCCACCCAACGCACGACCAGAGAGCTATATAACCACTCGCAGCTGGTATGTCATACGTTGTATCTACATCGAAGATCAAACACGTATACACACGGCCGGCGACACGGAAGCATAACGTGCACGGTATTGTCCGATTTTAGTCCCACGTCGGCTGAAAACGTGTTCCAACGCTGCGTATAAAATCCTTTCTTTATTATGGTAACAGCGAGATATCTATGGAGATCGGAGATTTTGTAACTATTTCTCTCGCTTTTCCTGCCTGACTGCGTGACGCTGGTGCTTTGTCAAGTCGCGCTTTGGAACCACCGCTCCGCACTGCTTCGTTTATAGTTTCCGTTAGATTTTTCTGAAACTCGCCTGAGTGATGGTGTTTTGCAAGTGATTGTAATTTTAGGTATGCCAGGCCGTTCAACTAGTTGCGACAGAAACAACAGTATCGAAAAAAATTCTCAGAGTCGTTTCTTTTTTTTTCTCGCAACTGGTCAGCTAGAACGCAAAATGGCTACAATTACAAAATTATTACTAAAATGAACTTTCTCAGACAATTCGAATCGGTCGAATCAAATGAAGATGCATTTTCCAGACCAGACATTGATTACCTACGAGAAATGAAATTCGTACGCCTAATGACTAATTACGCTGTTACAAAAAGAAAAAAAGAAAAAAAAGTAGTTGTTCGAAGGTAGCCAGACGAAACGAAATATGGACGAACAGTTTATAACCATTACGATCGGCTGTTCTTTTTTCTCTGGCATCACGGCGCTTTCGAGCACACCGGTACGAAGTTCTTTTACATAGGAATGCAGATCGGTCGAGGC